ATATTGGTCTGTAATTCTTCCTTTTGGTGGGGTCTTTGTCTGGTTTTGGGACTAACATAATGTTGGGACCAACTCATGGAAAGAATTTGGAAGTTTTGCTTCCATTTTGTTTTTTGAAGTAGCTTCAGAAAAATGGGTATTAATTCTTCATTAAATGTTTGGTAGAATTCTCCTGGGAAGCCGTCTGGCCCCAACTCCTGTTTGTTGGGAGATTTTTGAATACTGGCTTTAAATTCCTTGCCGGTTATAGGTCTGTTCAGGCATTCTGTTTCTTCCTTTTTCAGTTTTGGTGGTTTGTACGTCTCTAGGAATGAATCCATTTTTCCAGATTCCCTAATTTGTTGGCATATAGTTGTTCATAACATGTTCTTATAATTGTATTTCTTTGGTGTTGATTGTGATCATTCCTCACTCAAGATTTTATTTATTTGGGTCATTTTTCTTTTTGATAAGTCTGGCCAGAGGTTTATCAATCTCATTCTTTCAGAGAACCAGCTCCTAGTTTCATTCATGCGTTCTACTGTTCGTTTGGTTTCTATTTCATTGATTTCTGCTCTGATCTTTATTAATTCTCTTCTCCTGCCAGGTTTATGCTTTATTTGCTGTTCTTTCTCTAGCTCCTTAAGGTGTATGGTTAGGTTGTGTATCTGAGACCTTTCTTGTTTCTTGAGAAAGGCTTGTAATGCTATATATATTTCCCTCTTTGGACCGCCTTTGCTGCATCCCAAAAGTTTTAAACAGTTGTATTTTCATTTGTTTCCAACAATTTTTTTAATCCGTCAGTTTCCTGGTTGACCCACTCATTCTTTAGTGGGATGCTCTTTAGCCTCCATGTATTTGAGTTCTTTCCAAATATCTTCTTGTTATTGAGTTACATTTTCAAAGCATTGTTGTCTGAAAATATGCAGGTAATGATCCCAATTTTCTGGTGCCAGTTGAGACCTGATTTGTGACCAAATGTGTGATCAGTTCTGGAGAATATTCCATGTGCACTCTAGAAGAATGTGTATTCTGTTCTTTAAGATGGAATGCTCTGAATATATCTGTGAAGCCCATCTGGTCAGTGTTGTTATTCAAAGCCCTTTTTTCCTTGCTGATCTTCTGCTTAGATGATCTATCCATTGCAGTGAGTGGGGTGTTAAAGTCCCCTACTATTATTATATTATTATTGATGTGTTTCTTAAATTTTGTTATTAATTGGTTTATATAATTGGTTGACGCATGGTATAAGCATAAATATTTATAATTGTTAGATCTTCTTGTTGGATAGACCCTTTAAGTATAATAGAGTGTCCTTCCTCATCTCTTACTACAGTCTTTGGTTTAAAATCTAATTTGTCAGAAATAAAGATTGCTACCCACACTTTCTTTTGATGTTTATTAGCATAATAATGGCTTTCCACACCCTTACTTTCAATCTGGAGGTGTCTTTTGGTCTAAAATGAGTTTCTTACAGACAGCATATTGATGGGCATTTTTTATCCAGTCTGATACCCTGTGTCTTTTGATTGGGGCATTTAGCCCATTTACCTTCAGAGTAACTATTGAAAGAAGTGAATTTAGTGCCGTTGTATTACCTGTAAAGTGATTGTTTCTTTATACTGTCTCCATTCCTTTCTGGCCTGTGTTACTTTTGGGCTCTCTCTTTGCTTAAAGGACCCCTCTTAATATTTCTTGTAGGGCTGGTTTGGTGACCACAAATTCTTTTATTTTCTGTTTGTCCTGGAAGCTTTTTATCACTCCTATTTTGAACGACATCCTTGCTGGATAAAGTATTCTTGATTGCATGTTTTTCTTTTTTAGCACACTGAATATATCATGCCAGTCCTTCTGGCCTCCAGGTCTCTGTGGATAGGTCTGCTGTCGGTCTCATGTTTCTATCCTTGTAGGTTATGGACCTCTTTTCCCAGGCTGCTTTCAGGATTTCTCTTTGTCTCTGAGATTTGCAAGTTTCACTATTAAATGTTTTGTTGTCCTGTTTTAACTGATTTTGAGGGGTTCTCTGTGCCTCCTGGATTTGGATGCCTGTTCCTTCCCCAGATTAGGAAAGTTCTCTGTATAATTCGCTTCAGTATACCTACTGCCCCCCCTTCTCTCTTTCCTTTTTTTCTGGGATCCCAATTATTCTAATAATGTTTTGCTTTATATCGCTTATCTCTTGAATTCTTCCCTCATGATCCAGTAGTTGTTTATCTCTCTTTTTCTCAGCTTCTTTTTTCCATCATTTTTTCTTCTCTATCACTAATTTTTTCTTCTGCCTATTTATCCTAGCAGTTAGGGCCTCCATTTTTAATCGTATCTCATTAATAGCCTTTTTTATTTTGACTTGATTAGATTTTAGTTCTTTTATTTCTCCAGAAAGGGATTCTTTAGTGTCTTCTATGCTTTTTTCAAGCCCAGCTAGTATCTTTACAATTATTATTCTGAATCTAGTTCTCGCATCTTACTTCTACCCATACTGATTAGGCCCCTGGCAGTTAGTACTGCCTCTTGTTCTCATTTTTGAGGTGAGCTTTTCCATCTTGTCATTCTTGCAGAAAGTGGCCACTTTTCTATTAGTAGAATTGCAGCAATTCTTTTCTTACATCTCTGGTTGAGTTCTCAGGGGTTCGGAATGATTTGGTAACCAGCTGAATTACTGGGACCAGACAAAAACTAAGGTCTCCTACTCCTCTGCCATCTTGGAAAGTATTCTCTAGAATGTGTTCCTTTTAGATAGCATGTTGCTCTTTCTCTTGTGGGTACCAACAATCATTACCTTTTCACTGGAGTGATTGCTGTTCATACTCAATGCTGTTATCAATATGGTTGGTTTGCAGGCTCAGTTTGTTTTCTCTCTGTCCCTTCAGATCTTTGTTTTTTGTTGTTTTTTTCTCCCTCCTCTTTTATTCTGGAATAACTAAGTATCTTTTAACATTACATTTTATTTTTACTGTTGCCTATTTTTCATCTCCCGCTTTTTTTTTTTTTCCAATTTAACTTACTATATGTTTATTTTCAAGTAATAGGCTTTGTTTAGCTTACAGTGTTTCAGTCTTCCTTTGCTCAGTCTCCTGGAACTTCACTTGGTATATGTGCAGCACAATATTTAGCCAAAGATTCAAGCAGACTCCTCAGCTGAGTTTTGGAGGTCTTCTGGAGCAGCTCCTGCTTCTGAGGTACCCTGCTCCTCAAATTCCAACTTTTGTCTTCTCAGCTCAGCAAGGTAACTTTCATCTGCTCAGGATCCTTCTTGCTCTACATTCCAAAAAGCATGTCCTTCCCCTCAGAAAAGCCAGTGTGCTCACAGAGCTCACCACACTTACTTTCCTTTTCTCGGGAATTATAGTTCTGTGCTGCCTGTTGTCCAATATTTGAAAACTATTCTGTATAATCTGTCCAGTTGTATAGGTGTTTACAAGTAGGAGGGTAATCCCCCTTCCCAGTTTTGCCATCATAGCTTGAAACTCTTGTGGTGGTTTTAATAATAAATACCTGAGTTTCATTCTAGACTGGGTTTTCTGGAGGTGGTGCCTGGCTTTCTGTATTTTTTTAAAAGCGCCTCGGGATTCTGATGCACAGTCAAGTTTGGGAATCATGGCTCTACGGTTTGTGGAGCCAAGTAGAGATCATTTGAGTCTGTCAACTACTGGGGGCCTAATATATTTTAAGTACAGAGATGCTGACATTTGGGACTTCATTCAAACAGAAGGCAAGAAAGATCAGTTGGGAAGGAAGGAGGCTATGTACAAAAAAAACTTATTGTAAGGAAGGTAAGAGAGGAATTTCCCATTTGGGACTTTTGAAGCTAAAGTGTTTCCTCTCTACTTTCTCTCAGCAGTAGAAAATAGTGGCCAGACTCATCCATTTTTTCCTTTCCTACCTGCTACTGTGGCAGACCTTAATGTTACCTATACCATTTAGACAGATTAGTAGAAGTGAGGAAGATGGAGCTGTGTGGAATAATCCCGTTTCTGGAGTCTCAGGACTAAGGTTTTCCCTTCAGTCATAACATCCCCAAACTAGTGGGTGTTGAGTGAGAATAGGTGACCTGGTTGTGTCTCTCATCCCACTCTCCCCTTCCCCACCTGCATCCTTTTCACCTCCCAGATTCCTTGTTAGATAAGCAAGTCAAGGTAAAATTTTATTTACATGGTGTGTAGCCGTTTGTGGACATTTGAAGAAACTAAAACGGATGCCCTTTTAGAGGTGACTTAGCTAAACCAAATAAACAGGGAACGATGAATGTGTCCCCTAGGAGATCTGAACTTACCACGTTAAGGTACAACCACAATAATAAAACTTATTTGTAGTCCTGTTTTGGCTTAAAAATTAATGCAAATTTTACGTTGTATTCTTTCATGTATCAGTATTTGTTTTAACTTAAAAGTGTGTTAACTTACAGAATTGACATTCCGGAAGGATGTACCATCTTTATCCTGTGCCTTCAAACACCTCTTGATATGCCCTTAGAATTACAACTTCTCTGCTGGGTGAAGCCCAGCAGTAGAAGCTGTTCTGTTTTGTTTTTAATGTTTTATTTCTGAGTTTTAAGTTACACTAAAGGTGACATAGGACTTTGAAGTATAGCCACCAGATATTTGATACGTGTTTACATGAATGGTTTCTTTGAAGGGAGAGTATGTTTCAAATTCTAGTCAGCAGGTCATAGCCATTTTTTCATTTCTAGAATATGGCCCAGGTTAGCTGCTACAGTGAAATAGAACCCTGCAGTGCCTTTTCTCTTCTGGTATTGTGGATTCCTAGCTGGGCAGAGTTAAAATACTGTCATGAAGGATAGTTGCAGTCCTCTGAATAAGGACTTGGTTAATTAGGATTTACCAGTTCTCTTGTTTTGTTTTGTTAGCCCAGAAATATTCTTTATTCCTTGCATTTCTGTAGAGCGAGTTTTTGTGAATACAGATGTACTGGTGGCCTACTCATCAAGTATAATGTAAAGCGCTGGTTCACTTACACTTCATTTCTACTAAAAACATTGATTTTTCTTTGCCATTCTGCAGTACCTTCTCCAGGCAAGTTCCGCTCCCCTGCAGCACCATCTCCTTTGGCTCTCCGGCAACCAGTAAAAGCATTTAGTAACCCTGGCTCTGGTTCTCCTGGTAGCCAAGAAACAACACAGCTCACACAGACCACCTCCTCACCTGGGCCTCCCATGGTTCCCAACACAGTCCCAGCAAATCCTCCCAACAATATCAACAGCACTACTCTAACCAGACCTGCAGGGACAACCGCGATGAGAAGTGGCTTACCCAGACCCAGTGCCCCTTCTGCTGGGGGTATACCAGTGCCTCGCAGCAAACTTGCACAGCCTGTTCGCAGGTAAGTGACAGACAGCGGACTGGGTAATTTAGAATTAGGCTCATCAGTGCATGTGGTAGCAAACCTAGAGAGTCCTAGTGGGTTCCCGTGAGAGTCTTAGTAGACTTGGAATAAAATGTTACTTTGTTGTTTTAAAGAAATTGTCACTTAAGATACTAGAGGATCACTCCACTTTGGTCAGCTAAAAATCAGCCAGATGCCTAACGTGATTAGGCATCTACGAGAACTCCTAGAAAAAACTATTAGAACCACTCAGTTTGCTTGTGAATTTTATTCATTTTGCGTATGTTATTCAGTAAAGATAAAGACTTGTTAGAACCTAGAGTGAGGTTTAAGATAAAACTTCCGGCTACCAAATCTGAGTATAACCCAGGAGGGTGGTTTTCAAACTTTGATGCAAATCAGAATCTTCTGTATAGTTATAAATGCAGAGACCTAAGTTTTACGCCCAGAGAGTAGATCTCGTATGAAGGCCAAAATCTGTGGGTAATTTTTTTTGTCTGTTGAATCTTCAGGTGATTCTGAGGCCAGCCAGGCTGGGAACCATGCGTCTGCGTAATCGTAGTATGCGCCTTTCAGGAATGTGATTACCACCATCAGTAAACTTAGGAGTCCAACTATAATTAAACTTGACATATTCATTTTCATGGGAAAAAATGGCTTTCATCTTGTAAGAATTTAAACTGAATTACCTAGATCTTTCATTCTAAGATAGATTTATTACATTTCCGAATTCAGTAGTAGAGTACAACAGCTTTTTGCTGTGCACTGTGCTAAATAACTTGTACCTTACTGGATTTTTACAGTAACATTAGGCATGACAATAACACAAATATGAAACTGTTATTATCCCTGTTTTTCAGAGAAGAATATTGAAATTTAATGACATTAAGTAATTTGCCCAAGATTATACAACTAAAGGCTTTCAGTTCTAAGTATGTCTGACTTAAAAGTCCATTTAAGCTCTTAGATCATTTTGCCTCTCTAGTGATGGTGACAGAGCCTGTTGTCACATTCATCACTCTGCCCCCCTCAAACTAAGCAGTTAATTAAAATGTTGGTGATCCATGCTGTTGGAAGAGATGAGACAGTCTTTTCCTTTCTTTTAGTGGCTATGTTAACTATAGTGGCTGTGTTAACAAAAAGATGTTAGTGAAGTCACCTGACGCCCAGTTAGTGACGTCAGCTGGGAAGTTGGAAATGCCAGGTGTGGGACTGTTGTGCTGATAGGCTGTGTAGAGCTTTGATCTCAGTAGTCCCCTGAAACAGCCTCCATTGGATTGGGATGCCACCTGCAAAAACATATCTGTGAGAGATAGTATGGTAACGTTTCATAAAGCCTTACAAATCACTTCATTATATTGCTTTATTTCAGATCCTTGCCAGCTCCTAAAACCTATGGTAGCATGAAAGATGACAGTTGGAAAGATGGCTGTTACTGACCAGCAAAGATGAGAATGCAGAGGTCCACAGCTTCATGGATACCCCTTCACCAGGCTAAAAGACAACTTTTATATGCAGACTGTTCAGATAAGACTCTTGGGGTTTATAAATCCCAGCCCTCTCTGTCTTAATTAGCACAAACCGACGGAGATGATCAAGCAGCACTTTAATGACATTTAACATCAGATGTGTTTGGTAATCATACAATCACTCTCCATAGAATCACATTTAGTTTTGTTTAGTAGAAACTAAGTTGATTTTTTAATATTTGACAGAGGCCAATATCTGGGCAAAAAACTAACGGATGCCAAAGAGAAATGCCCATTTGTCAATGAGAGAATACCTTTGTGCTCAAGAAAATGGTGAATTCAAGCTCTCCAAAACTTCGCATTCAACCTAATTTACTGTATAAATAGCATCAATAAATATTTGTGTTAATGAGAACTAATATTCTGACTAATTATCTAAAATGTTTCACTAGTGTTTCGCTAGTACTCCAAGAAACTAAATTGAGATGGAAGGGAAGATGAGGGTGGGAAGAAATCTAGGCTAGAGATTTCAAACATGATACCTAAATTTGTGAGAATTCTATAAATTATTTTTGCAGATTCACCAGAAAAAAATTGTCATTTTGCTTGGTCTTAAGTTTTGGATGTAGCTCCCGTACCACCAGCACCAGAGAACGTTCCACCGTGCATCCGCCATGTTGCATTGACACATCGGACTTCTGCCTGTTTGTTTTGATTGCCACAAGGGCTTAATAACAGTTGTACAATCTTTCTAAACTTTATAGCTCCTGGCTCAGGAAAGATAGCCTTTGCTGTTGAAGCCAACGTCTTCACATGCTGTCATATCTGTTACAGAACTAAGAGATCGTGTTTTCATTAGCAGGTCTCCATGATAGGAAAGAGCAAGTAGTGTGTGTCTTCATCCTTGATCTAACTAACACCGCCTCCGTGCTCACAGCCTCGAACAAAACCATACCATGAGAGAGAAGGGGGAAATCTATGCACTTCACTTACAAAATCTCTGGTAATGACCGTTGTGTTGTTACTGTTCACTGACGACGGTCTGTGATGTGGTAGGAAGATATAGCCTGCTGGATCCTACTTCACTTGATCCACTTCAAACTAGGTAACTGTATACAACCTCCTTTGAGAATACTGTCCCTTTTGACTTGGATTCTGCCTTACGTTAATTTTTACATTTTTGGTAACAAATGAAACCCACTCCGTATGACTCTAACCTATTAAATACTTGCTCTCTAGTGGCCCCTTGTGTATTCTGGAAATCACTTATTTCGGTTTTATTAGACAATTTCGAGACAAACTTTCTTCAGCAGGCTTCTCCTTTTTCATGGTGAGGTCTGTTTTAAAATACTTAATTTGAATGGCTCTGAAATACTGGCAGTCAGGTTAGCGAAGGGATTTTAGAGATGTGAACATAAGTTCATTTCTTGTTAGTAAAAGACATTCTGTAAGTTGGCAGAAATTGAGGGACAAAAGAGAGACTTGATATTCAGGATAGCATTAAGGTTGATAGGTTGAGAGAAGGATAAAATTTTTAAAACCAAGACCCCCATTCTGCCATGACACCGTGGTATTTTTTATTAGCTTGACCATTAGGGAGTCATTCAGTTAGCACACGCAGCTGGAGATTTAAACTGCCAGTGCTAATGTATTTGGTGTATGATGCGAGGAAGAAGTTTTATCCTTGAATTTGAGGGTGATGGGTGTGGGTCAGGGAAGGGCGGCACCAGAATTCCACATGATGATGAACTAAAAAATGTTGCCTTTCAGAGGAAGATAAATCATCTGCTTTGGGTGGGGGGTATCTCATGTAAAAATCTAAGTAAAAGAACTAACCACTGTCTCTTTTTTAAAACCATATGTACACAAAATAGATCTCAGTCTCAGTGCAACATTGCAAAAGAAAAATATGCTGCAATCAAATAATGACAAGGAATTTTAACTCTATTTGAAACACCCATTACATTAAGTTAGAGTATCTGTTTCAAAAGGAGTATTCAGGTTATTTAACTTTGTTTTTAAATGGCTGCATCAGAAAAAAAAATGTCTATTTTTTTTTTATTAAAATACTTCATCACTTATTAAAAACATATTTGGATCTGAGTTGGGTAAAACATTATTTTACCTGCTGTTGTACTACCACAGACTATTGGCTTTTAGGTTCCTAAAGAGAAAAATTGCCTTTTTACTAGAAGGCCTTTGTGTATTGCCAATTTTTCTGTTTGGGAATATCTAAGGATGCGCTGTGGTTAGTCTTACAGAAGAAATGTGGATTTGATAAACTAGTGCCTATGATTTTAACTTATGTTTGATATATAGTAGTAAGGGTTTTATGAATGTTGATTATTTTTCTGTGCCAACAGCCCAGAATTGTCACTTATATGTAAGCAGAGAGCTCTGAGCTCTGCTTCCAAAGTTATTTAATTTTCTCAGTGTTTGAATGTTATTTTTTTGTAAGTGTGTTAATAAAAGTGTAAAAAATTGGAAAAAAATATAAATATTCTTAACTCGAGCATTTGCTGGATCATTTTTCTACAGAACTTGTTTGTATAATAATATGAAACACTCTCTGAAGAGTTGACTTTTTCAGTTTTCATGCCCTGGAAATCACATTTTGTAAAACTGGGGACCATTCATAATTGTCAGATACTTTTTAAAATTATCTCAGTACATCACTTTTATAATAGTTTTTTTGAAAGGAAATTAGAAACATGTGTCCCCAGATATTTGTATGACTCTAGAATGATCTAGACTATGTATATTTAAATTTTTATTGAATGTACAGACATCCATTTTTGACATTACGCATGGTCCTTTCAGATCACATGAAGTTTGATTTGCAAACATTTCTATAGCTGAACTTGTATGTGTGGTTGCCTCCTTAATAAAACAGCCTGACCATAATGTTTATTATTAAATTTATATTGGTTTTTTCAAGCGTTTTATGAATTTCTGGATATGGTAAGATTCTCCACCCCAAGTTGCCTATGGTTTTAATAAATTTCTCAGTTGATTTTTTTTTTTTTTTTTTTAAACACACAGACCCAAGTCGTATTGCCCTTTCAAACTTGATCTTCATGAGTTGGAATATATCATGTTATATTCTCCTTGTCCTAATTATTTCATATTTGAATTATTTGGAGTGTACTTATAGTTTATTCAAAACTGGTATGTTCTTGGAACTTTGTCACTGGCTATGAATTGATACCTACTTTTAAAAAGCCAGCATATGTAAAACAAGCAAAAAGCCATTATTTATGAGTTTCCAGAAGGGAAAATTAATACATTTTCAAACCAAATACATTTACTTGGTTAATTGTGCATTTTTCTCTCCGAGATAAATGGGGAAAATCCAGAATTATACTCTGTTTAATTAGTTCCCCACATTCCTTTTGGAAGTTTTTACTGTCTCTTATGTTACAATTAGTCTCATTAATGCAGCATAGAGAAATGATACCATGTTTGAATTTTCCCTCAAACCAACCCCAAAACTTCTAAGAACTATTTAAAATTAAATGTCAGTGTATTTGTAAATCAGTGAATGAAAAGTTTTCTTAAATTTCTTATATACCCAGTACAATGGAAAACCCATATGGAGATTCTTGTGAGATACTTGCTATATCAAAGTTTAGCTTTGAGTTACAAAAGCAGAATAAATAATAGAGAAACCAACTCGAGACAGGTAATGAACAGAGTGTTCACATGAGCATGAAGCCAAAGTTAGGAACCCCTAATATATTTTTAATGATCCTAAATATAAGTCTTAGTGGACTAAGTGGTCCTCCGGTTACTAGTCTGAAAATTGAACATTCAGTCATGGACCTTACTTAATACAACTGAGTTTAAAACTATGTTAACTGCTTGCCAATTTCAAGCCAGTTCTTTAAGCTGGCTAAACGTAATGTTTTCTCTTTAAAAAACAAAAACAAAAAGTCTTTGATTTTGAAACTAGTAGAGACTCATTGCTTCAGAAACTGAAAATATTAATATAAATGACCCCACATTTCACCTTGGGATCCTGCAATCCCACCATCCAGAAATAAGTATTTAAGTGCTGGTGTAACATAATGCTAAGTGAAAGGGCGGAAAGTCTTCTGTTGAGGATGAGAAAAGTATTTTCCCATGAGTTTGCTTTTGAACAGAGGTGTACATTAACTGATGTTGAAAGCTTGACCCACATTTCTCTATTCCTGAGTGTAGATATTCCTAAATGTTATTTTAAAAAATCTGTCATATGTATTGTTTATATCTTTATAATGGTTGGTTTTCTTATGAAAAATTACGTTTACTGTATAAAACTAGAGAAATACAATGACATTATAAAAGAAGACAAAGCACTTAATTCCATAGGTAATCAACCACTTAAATTTAAGGAGGTTGTCAATTTGTTTTTTCTTCTTAAGAAATTGGGATCATATTCATGGTTGACACCGTAACTTTATCTTGACTCCAAGGTCATTGCCATCACTTAGATGGATTTTGCTGGGAGAGGAGTTTGAGAAAGAGTCTACAGATAACCATTCCAAAACTTCACCAAACCAGTATTATCATAGTTCTTCATATAGTATCTGTTATTGACACTTGGCCACATACACCGCCACCCTCCCACCCCCGCCACAGCAGTCTAGCAGACTGAACTGACAGTATCGGTTGAATACAGTTCCTGTTTTAAAACAAAATACCTCTTTTTTTTTTTTAAGGTTTTATTTATTTACTTGACAGAGATCACAAGTAGAGAGGCGGGGGGGGTGGGGAGCAGGCTCCCTGTTGAGCAGAGAGCCCGATGCGGGACTCGATCCCAGGACCCTGAGATCATGACCTGACCCAAAGGCAGCGGCTTAACCCACTGAGCCACCCAGGCGCCCGTAAAACAAAATACCTCTTAAGAAATAATAGGCACAACCAAATAAAGAATTGAGATGGTCTAGATTAGAGTTATCAGTCTTCAGGATCACTTGATTGGCTGTTAAAACAGATTTCTGCACCCCACCCCAAGCATGCCTGTTCAAAAATAGAACTCTGAGAACAAAACTTCTAGGAGTAGGATTCCTCAACACAGTCAGGTGCTCATTTCTGGACTAGTTGACTGTGGTCAGATGATCAGGGTTAATTAAAAGCCGTGCAGCCCCTATGAAAACATGGATGGAATGAGGAAAGACCATTTTCCCTGAACATGGTGCTTGCACCACAAATGTCTTAGTACATATCCTATGAAATGACTGTTTCGTGTCAGTGGTCCTATGTTCTTAGAGGTAACATCTGCAGTGAGAGAAGGCTCTAACAATATTTTAACCCTTGGCTCAGTTGTCCTTGAGTCCCAGGATCATTCCTGTACTTGAATTCCATGAAGTACCTCAGTCACTATAAATTCCCCTTGGTACCTAGGTCACTTTAAGCTAAGGTTCTGTCCATTCCTCAGAG